TCGCCATGTCCTAGACGTCGCGTTATCCAGGGCGCGACGTACCTTTTACCATGACTCCCCTCCTAATGAGTCTCCTCACCTGTCTGTCCTCAGCCTGCCTTACACTGAGGAGATCTACTCCCACCGTTGGCCCCTGCAGTCTCTCAACTGCAGACTCTCCTTTCGCCAGGTGAATACTCTCCGTCGTAACCTGGTTCACACCTGCCCTCACTCTACCTCGAAGGTGGGCACCTATGCTGTTCCGTGTGTCTCCTGTGATAAGCAGTATTTTGGAGAAACAGGTGCCAGTCTTACTAAGCGTCTGTCTCAGCATAAGTACGCTGTATCCAGGGGACATAGCAACAACGCCCTCTTCTGCCATCAGTGGGACACTGGCCATCAGATGGAATGGAAAGCAGCACGCATTCTCTTCCCTTCCGCTGACGTCCATGCCCGCAGACTGGTGGAATCTTCTCTGATTAAGCTGCTGCCCAATATCAACTTGAACAGCAGTTTCTCTCCTGCCGACAGCCTCCTCGCTTCCCACATCCTTCGTCTCCTCCCTTATGCCGGTCACCCGTCACATAGACCGCCTGATCCTTCGACCTGATCTGACCTCCCTTCGCTTCCGTTCTCCTGTCCTCACTTGCCCCGTGGTTCCCGAGTGCTTCTCCTCCTTTCCCTCTTATACCGCTTACTCTCCCTTGCCTCCTCAGACCCGAAGATGGAATCGAGGACGATTCCGAAACTGTTGTCACTTTCATCAATAAATTTAGTTTGTGCATTGTGGGTTTTTCTTTCATATTATCATCACGGTATTGTGTTTTTCATTGCATATATATATATATATATATATATATATATATATATATATATATATATATATATATATATATATGTGTGTGTGTGTGTGTGTGTGTGTGTGTGTGTGTGTGTGTGTGTAATGATTCAATCATATTTTCGTTCACATGTGCTTCTTTTGGAAATCCAAAGCCATCTAATTGCAATTGATTTTTTCAATATTTCCAGAATTAGTGTTCAAGTTCGTGGTTTTTCGCTCGAGACAGAAGGCGATGGCGTAGGATACCGCACGATGAGTGAGAGAAGGAACGGAAAGATTCAAAAAAGAAAAAGTGCAACAAAGTATAAGAGCGAGACAATGATAAAGAAAACGAATGAAAGAAGAAAGTAATAAGAGCAAGAAAAGAATTAGTGAACAGAGACAAAACAAGAAAAGTAAGAAAAAAAAATCTAAAATACTCAACGATACCAGATTATGATTTAGATTGAAAACAAAACCGAAGCTTCCAGAGACAGCAAGACTATCAATAAAGCGAACCCAAAAGTGAATTAATTAAATCAATTCATATGTACAAAATGACCAGAGTAGACGCCATGGAATTCCAACCCGAGTACAACAGCGTAAGGTTAAATGACGTAAGTATTTTTTTTTTTTTTTTTATCAATTTTATTTTTGATTTTATTTATTTTAACGCCCGTAGTCATCTTTTACGTTTTGTTGTTGTTTTTTTATTTCGATTGTGATAAGATTATTATGTTTAGATGTTAAATAACGTACGTATCTTTTATGCTGATGGCAGTAACTCATCTATAATAGATTGACTATTTTCTAAAAGTAATGAGAGTATTTTTTTTTTTCGTTTTATTGCTGTGCGTAATAAATTGATGAAATAAGGGTATTAAAAGGCGTAAGGTTAAATTACGTTTATTTAGTAGTATTTTTCCCGTTTTGTTTATTTTTTCATGGAAATATCTTTTAAAGCATTTGTAGTGATTTTCCATTTGCGTTGATGTTATTAATTAATCTATAATAGTTTGGTTGCATTTTCTATAACTAACTTTTTGCATTTCTTTCGTTTTATTGATCTTAGTGATGAATGGATTATAAATAAGTACAAGATTATGTAAGGACTTTGTAGAACGCCTGCATGTTTTCGGATTTTGATGTTAGTATCATCTATTTGAACCTAATTTCACTCGTGTTAAACGTAGTATCTATCTTTTGTCTTTTGTCATTTTGGCATAGCTACATATTTCACAATTAAATAACGTTTTACTGATGTAAGCGCCTTCTAAGAATAAAATGTAAGTGAAAATGAATTACCAACTAACTCATAAGACTTTAAATACACATTTTACGTTGTCAATTTATTCATTCTCGTCTATACGTTGTACTACATGTCATGATAAGTACCTCGTCTATAGTAAATGAGCTACGCTTTGATTATTAAATATCTCGATCTGTTTGGGAGGGATTATGTTCCATGAATAGAAGGATGCCTGGTTCATAAATAATGGCTAATATGATTTCCCCATTTTATGCAAATTTCCCTATCTTTCCTTCATATATTTTGGCTGACATCTTGTCTCTTTTTCTGTACGAAGTATTTAATGCTTATTAATATTTTTTAAGTGTTCGCTTCCCATCTTTCCTCATCAGATTCTGATTTTTGTAGTATGATACCATATAGGGAATCTACTCTCATAGACCATTATCATATCATTATACGAATTGATTAGATATTCATGGAGTAATCTTATCGTTGCATTTCGTTATCAGAATATCGTTAACGAGGAAATACAATTTGCATTTTCTTGGCCAGCTCATTAATATTATTGATAAAGCTAGTGCATGTTCATACAACTTGTTCAACAATTTCAAACGATGCTTTTCATGTTGCTATGGCTAATATTATTAATATTGGTTAATTGCCATAACTTGTCTGATTGTTTGTATCTTTTTATTGTTTATGGAACCATAGGACTATGTGGGTTTTCAAATTTGGTGAAATAAAAGATATAGCTTCGTAAATGTTTTCTGTCAATAGCTGGATGTTTTCGTACGCTAGTGTAGAAATATGTGAGTATTTACTTATGTGTGCATGACTTTGTGTGTATATTTGGCTGTGCAAGGGCGTATGTCTGTGTCTGTGTGTTTGTATATGTGTAGGATTTTGTGTGTACACTTGATTGTGCAAGGCCGTATGTCTGCATTTGCGTGTATGTACATGTGTAGGATTTTTTATATATATTTGGCTGTGCAAGGGCGTATGTCTGTATTTGTGTGTATGTATGTGTGCGTATTTATGCAATTGCGCGGCTGTGTTTGCGTTTTTGGGTATTTGCGTTTGTCTTTGTAAATCCGTGCCATGTGGATCGTTGCTTAATGCCGATTTCTTTTCCTTTTTCTTTCCCCGAATCCGACCTCCACCTGCTTATCCATCTGTCTGTCTTGCTTACTCCTTCGTCTCCCTTTTTTGTCATTTTATTTAATCTCATTTTGATTTATTTCTTATTTTTTCATCTTGATTTTATTTTGTTTCATCTCATTCATTTTTATATTGTCTCTTTATGGATCTTTCAATCAATCTATTTTTTTCTACAACTTTATCATTTTTATCTGTCTTCTGGCTTTCCATTCTCCCTTTCCTTTCCTTTCGCTTTTTCCTCCTCTCTCTTTTGTATTTTATTTCCTCTTCTCCCCCCCCCTTTCTTCCTATTTTTTCCCTCTCTGCCTCTCTCTCCCTCATCCTCTCTCCTCTCCTTCGCACTTTTTTACCCTTTCTTTTTCTCTCCCTCCTCTCCCGTTCTTTCTCTTCTCTTCTCATCTGCCCCTCTTACTTTCTTCCCTCATCCCTTTTCACTATTCCTTTATTTCCCTTCTTCTCCTCTTCTCTACTTTCCCCTTCCCTTTTCCCCACTTCCAATGTTCGCGCTTCCCCTCTTCTCCTATTCCCCACTTTGTTCTTTTTTCCCCCTTCACTATTCTTTTACTTCCCTTCTCCTCTCCCCTACCTTCCCCCCTTCCCCTCTTCCCTTCTTCTCTCTTCCTTTTCCACTATTCCTTTATTTCCTATCTTCTCTCCTTCCTTATTTTCCTCTCTTCCCCTCTTCCTTTCTTCCCTCCTCCCTTTCCACTATTCCTTCATTTCCCTTCTTCTCATCTCCCCTAATTCCCCCTCTTCCCATCTTCCCCTTTCCCCTTTTCCCCTCCTCCCTTTTCACTATTCCTTTATTTCCCTTTTTCTCCTCTTCCCTTCTTCTCCTCTTCCCTACTTTCCCCCTCCTCTTCCCTCTCCCGCACCCTTCCCCCCCCCCCCGCACCCCTAAGCAGCCCCCCGACCGCTACCGCCAGATCGCGCAGGAGTTCTGGGACCTGCAGGACCCCGACCGGAAGCGCAGGATCCCGCTGTCCCGCCTCAAGGACCGCATCCTCAGGACCAAGGACGCCGACGGCCTGGCCAACGCCCTCGTCATCCAGCTCCTGCAGGAGGCCGACAAGAACTACGATGGCTTCCTTAGCTATGAGGAGTACATGCAGTTCGTGAGTTTTTTTTTTTTTTTTTTTTTTTTTTTTTTTTTTTTTTTTTTTATTGGTGTTGATATGTAGAGTTTTCTTTCTTTCTTTTTTAAGAAAGGTGTGAATGTCTTTGATGTATATATTCGTTTTAAGGATAATTACCTTGGGAAAAAAAAATCTTTATTCAAGCGTTTCAGATAAATTCATCTCTTTTCTCAAATCCTTTTTCCCCTTTCTGAACCTCCTCCTGTGCCACGTGCCGCCATCTTGACCGTCCCTCCGCTCCCCAACCCCACGACTTCCACGCTCACCCCTCCACCTCCCTTCCCCAACTCACCCCTCCCCCTCCAACCCATCTCCACCTCCCCGCCTCCACTCATCCCAACCCTATCCCCTCCATGACCCCCTTTTGTCCACTGTCTCCCAACTCTTCTCTTCCCCTCCCTCTCCCCTCGTCTCCCTTCCTCCCCTTCCGTCCATTCCCTTCCATCTCCCATAACTTCATACCTTTCCTCCTCCTTTCACCCCACCCCTTCCCTTAACTCGTCCACCGCACCCCTTCTCCCTCCACTCCTTCTCTCCCCTATCATCCCCATCTCCACCCCACCCCTTCCCCATCTCCCTCCCCACCCTCCTCTCCACCCCTCCACCCCTTCCCCATCTCCCCTCCCACCCTCCTCTCCACCCATTCCCCACCCCTTCCCAATCCCTCACGCCTCCTCCCCTTCCCCCTCTCCTCCCCCCCCCCCGAGCCCAGACCGAGGAGGCGAGGTCCCGGGGCGAGGGGCGCCAAGGGTTCAACCGCGCCGCCCTCAGCGTCCTGCCCCGAGGCGACCGCACGGTGGAGGCCCGCCGCTACATCGAGTACTACCGCTGCTGCCCGCCGCCCTTCTTCATGGTGCTGGCGTCGCTGGTGGAGGTAAGGGGCGTCGGGCGCGTGCGCGAAGGGGGAGTGGAAAGGGTGCGTGTGTATGGTGTGTGTGTAGCGTGTGTGTATGTGTGTGTGTGTGTGTGTAGGGTGTGTGGGTGTCTGTGTCTGTATCTGTGTGTCTGAGTGTGTGTGTAGTGCTTTCTTCTTGAAATATGCTCTCTCTCTTCATCCCCTCTACTCTCTCTCTCTCTCTCTCTCTCTCTCTCTCTCTCTCTCTCTCTCTCTCTCTCTCTCTCTCTCTCTCTCTCTCTCTCTCTCTCTCTCTCTCTCCTCTTTTATACTCCTCTCCCTCCCTCCTTCCCCTCCATTCTCTCTCTCACTCACTCCCATTCTCTCCCTCCCTCCCTCTTCCTTCATTCTCTCCATCCCTCCTTCTCCCTTCATTCTCTCCCTCCCGACCATTCACTGTCTCCGCCTCCAACAGATCGGCGTGTTCACCTACTACGCCCTCGACATGGACCGGCCGATGGGCGCGTCTGGCCCGGCGCCCATTTACTCGCCTCTCATCTACAACCCCTACAGACGCTACGAGGCGTGGCGGTTCGTCAGCTACGCCCTCATCCACTCGGGGTGAGCGGGTCGAGGGCTGCAGGGCTGGTCTGCAGTCCGGTTTCTGCGCCGTCGGAGGATGGGTTTCAGTGTTCAGATAGTATTCTTTTCCTTGTTTTTTTCTTCTTTTGTTTTTATTGTTGTTATTATTTCGTTTTTTTATGCGGTGTGGTTTGGAAAACGAAAAGAGGTTTGGGATGTGAGGTTTTGTTTATGCACACAAACAGATCAATAAATGAATGATTAAATTATATACGAAGATATATCAAGATTGACAGACAGACAAACTGATAGACGATAGAAAGAGATAGATAGGCAGAGGCAGACATCAGAAAGCAAACAGATAGACAGACAGACTGACAAATAGACAGAGAAGTAGGCAGGTAGACGCAAAGAAAGTGAGGCAGACAGAGAGGCGGAAGGTGGGCGATCGACAAACAGAAAGTATAGACAGTCAGACAGGCAAGCAGTTAGACAGACAGATACTAGACGGGGAGAAAGAGAGACACACTGACTAACAGAAAGCGAAAGAGACAGACAGACATTGGCAGGCAGGTAAGTAGAAAGAGAAACAGGCAGACGCAGAAATCAGCGACTAATTGATAGAAACAATAGACTAATTAATAGATAAAACTCTCAGACCTTCCACCCCCCTTATCCCCCTCCCCCCTCAGCCCCCACACCCAACCTCCTTTCACGAACTCACAACTTAACGCAACCTCCCCCCCCCCCCCAGCTGGCTCCACCTCGTGACCAACCTCGTGATGCAGCTCCTCTTCGGCGTCCTCCTCGAGCTCGTGCATCGCTGGTGGAGGATCATGCTGGTGTACTTCGCCGGGGTGCTCGCTGGCTCCCTCGCCCACTCCCTCACGGCGCCCTCCATGTACCTGGCGGGGGCGTCTGGGGGCGTCTACTCGGTCATGTATGCGCATGCGGGGAACCTCGTCTTGGTAAGGGGTTGTGTGAGGGGGAGAGGGGGGGCAGGGGTCTGTGTGTGGGAGGGGAGTTGGAGGGGAAAGAGTGGGTGTTTGCGTGTTGGGGAAAAAGGGGGAGAGGATAGGTGGTTATTATTATTGTTATTATTATTATTATCATTATAGTAAGCCACACTAAAGGTGTCAGTACAAGTCAAGATACAGCTAAGAAAAGATGAACGAATAGAAAGTCAGCTTTTTACGTGAGAAAAACATGATAGCCGAGCTTTTAAACTTATCAAGAGTCGGAGGTTACAACCTCTGAAGGCAATCTATTCCAAAGTCTACAAATAGTAGTAAAAAAGCATCTAGAAAACTGACGCAGACGATCGACTTGAATCAAATGTCACTGAACTGAGGGTCATAGAACTTCTGGTAACTCTTGCGGGTTGATAAAAATCAGGTCAAAACTTATAGAGGGGATGTGAATTATCGGTTGCAATCTTGTATAAGAGTGTAACCGATGCCCAAATTTAACAGGAGAAATTTAATGGAATTGAAAGAGCGATCAAGCAGTCTTAAGTGTGAGTCTGCAGCAGATAACCATACAGAACAATACTCAAAATGAGGCAGAATAAAAGAAAAGAAGGAGGGGAGAGAGTGGATGTTTGTGTGAGGGGAAAAGGGGAGGGGAAGGGGATGGGGGTAGTGTGTGGGAGGGAGAGGGGATCGAGGAGAGAGAGTGGGTGTTTGTGTGTTGAGGAAAAGGGAGGGGACAGTATGAGAGGTTGTGTGTGGGAAGGGGGATGGAGCGGAGAGAATGGATGCTTATGTGAGGGGAAAAGGGGAAGGGAAGGGGGTGGGGTTGTGTGTAGGAGGGGGGATGGAGGAGAGAGAGTGGGTGTTTGTGTGTTGAGGGGAAATGTGTGTTTGTATGTGGCAGAGGGAGAGATTGGATATTTGAACCTCAGAAGAGAAAGGGAGGGGAGAGACCACCTTTACCGAAGGAGTAAAGCAGCTATTAAAGATTTGTGTATCTGTGTGTGGGATGCCAATGAATATGAAAAACACTACGTTGTCCAGCTGATCAAAGGGCCTCCTCCCTCACCTCGTCCACCCCGTCTCTCCGCAGAACTGGTCGGAGATGGAGTACCGCTGGATTCAGCTGATCATCATCATCTTCGTCAGCGTCCTGGATCTGAGCTACGCCTTCTACGACACCTACGGCAGCGCCACGCCCTCGAACGTGAGACAGGCTTCCCTTTGTTCACTGTCTCGCCTTTCAACAATGATGTAGAGAGAAGTGATTTCCATATAAAGATATAGATATGTGTGTGCAGGTAAAAAAGAGAAAGAATAATATGGATGTATAGATGTATGGAGATGTAAAGAAAAAGATGCATATATTTAGATGTTAAAGTAATAAGATACCAAGATAGAAATATAAAGGCGATGACAGAAACAAATCTTGTGAAACCGGATAAAAGCGAAATCCCCAACTGTAGAATTTCTTTCGCTTCGTCCCCTTTCTTGGCGTCCTCTCTCCCTCGCAGACGGGGCACATGGCTCACCTGGGCGGGGCCATCGCGGGCGTGCTGGTGGGCGTGAGCATCCTCCGGAACCTGCAGAGGAGGCGGTGGGAGCGGGTGTGCTGGTGGGTCTCCTTCATCATCTACGTCATCCTGGTGGGGACGGCGGTCGTCCTCAACGCGTCCCTGCAGGACTACTTCCCGGACAACGACTACACTTCGTACGCCGTCCTCAGAGCGGACTATCTCTCGAGGTCGACGTGAGATGGCTGGGAGTGACGTCACAGGGGAGGTGGCGGGGAGTTGACGTAATAGGGGGGGATGACGGGGGAAATGACGTAATAGGGGGGGATGACGGGGGAAATGACGTAATAGAAGACGTAAGAGAGGGCGGTGACCTCCCGGGGCCACACGAGCGCTTCATCGCCAGCAAACGCCCGGAGCGCGCGAGGCCCCCTTGGCGCGGGCGGGGCCGCTGCGCCTGGGAGGGCTCTCGGCGCGCTGTCGGGACCGATCGGGCGCGATGGCCGAGGCGGAGAAAACGCTCTAAATGGAAAGGTGAAATTCATGGGTTAAATATTCTTGATCATATCTACGGCATTCGTTATCATTATTTGTATTTTTATATTTTAAGTACGAAAGATGTTCAATGGTATTATTTCCAGACTGATTGCCAGATCAGATTCAATATGGCTATGGATGCGCCGCCATATCTGCTTACCCTGCTGCGTTGTAGCGCGAATTCAAAAGTAAATAAAATTCATGATACTCCTTTTCTTCCTGTTAAACAGAAGCACACCCGCATCTGACTTTTTACTTTTCTTTTTTTTTCTTTTTTTTCTTGACACTTTTGCGAATAAGCAATCACTGCTTCTGCGAGAAGGTCCTGCCTCCTCGAATAGAGGTGACCCTGTTTGCTCAGCGCGTGGCTGTCTTCGGGCGATGGCTCGTCGCCGTGCGGCTGCAAGACTCGTTGGTGATGAAATGCTCGTGTGGCGTAAGGGTGGGGGGAGGGGGGGGCACGAAGGAGGAGAATCGCTTCGGCGATCCATGTTTAGTGTCATTATAAAAACACTTGAAACAGTATTCTATTGATTTTGGATCGATTAAAACTGTTGTCTGAACGAGAATGAGATTTGGCATGTCGTTCTTTCAGACAAAGAAAACGTTGCATTATCGATAAATCAGATGTTGTGTATATACAATTAAGCAATTAAACATTACCTTGAATAAAGTTGGAACCAGGATATATCCAATGTTTGTGCATGGGCTGAGGATGAGTTTAGTGTTTACAATTTGGACGCGATAGAATAACATGATCAGACAAAACAGAGACTGTTTCTGCTCAGCTTCCGAACAAGTAAAACGCAGGTGATGGTCGGCATTATCTAAGTTAATTGTAAGTAATAGGATCACCTGACTGTCCCCAGTAAAACGCCATCGCTGTATTTTCAGACAAAGAAAACGTTGCAATTATCGATAAATCAGATGTTGTGTATATACAATTTAAGCAATTAAACATTACCTTGAATAAATTGTCAGGAAATATCGAATGTTTTGCATGAGGCTGAACATGAGTTTATTTACAATGGACAAAGAAAACATCAACAAGACAAGACTCTCAGCTACCGAAAAAGCAATGATAACGCAGGGCTAGGGCTTAACCTAAATAATGACCAATCTCTGTGCCTGAAAAAAAAAAATAATAATAATAATAATAAAAACAATAAAAAAGATAAATATTTATTCATTCTATTATACATAGTGGAAAAATTCGTATACTATTCTGGCTCTCAATCCCGATCCGTACAATGGGGTTGTCTTTGAAAGTCATTTCTGTTTTGCTTTTGATGTACAAGTGCTCGTGTTACTGCAGTGCCTTCAGTGTGTTCATTAGACACATGTAATGAGAATGTCTTTAAGTGTCCTTAATTATGAAAGTGTTTTAATAATAACCCAAAAAGATGTTTATAGTTGATTAAGAATGTAGCAAAGAAAACAATGAAAATAAACTGTATAGCTAACTATACAAAAAAAAAAAGATAGACGTACAAAGCAAGGGCGAGGAACCGCAGAAATACTCCAATCAAAATGCATTCTCATCACAAATTTTCAACCGATGTAAACTGATATTCCACGACGGCTTCGGCAGTGAGAATCCTGTCATGCCTGGCAGACTCACGTCAGAATTACGTTGATAGTCTTTTGAGTCATGAAATTTTCCGTCGATTATTTTCACTGATGAATAAAGGATGCTACAATAGTAGCATCCTTTACCTATTCATATTTACCTGAAATAATGTATATGAGGATTCCTTCTCGTGACCTCCGGCCAGTAGACATTCCCTATTTCGATGAAAAATGTTTTGCTCCCTTGCGGCTGCTGTTCAGACGAAGCTTCACGGATGTTTTCCTTCCTTTCCGTAAGGAGCCTGAGTCAGTGCCCAAACTCAGGGACTCGGACGGGCCTTCGTGTGCACGCGAGCGGCGGGCCTCTGCGATGGGGCTGGGTCCCGTGCGTGCACAACAGAGAGAGAGAGAGAGAGAGAGAGAGAGATAGAAAGACAGACAGACAGACAGCGAGAGAGAGAGAGAGAGGGAGAGGGAGGGAGAGAGAGAGAGAGAGAGAGAGAGAGAGAGAGAGAGAGAGAGAGAGAGATAGATAGAGAGAGAGAGAGACAACGTTCCTCGGATTGGGGGAAAGTTAACGGAAAAGGTGCTAGCGGGAGACGGCCTTTCGCTTCATCGTGAATCGGATCTTCACCGAAATCCAACCCCTTAACCGGAGGCCACTTGGGTGTCCTGTTCTGCTTTATAGGGGCTGTTTATGTATAGTTATGTGTAGCCTTTAATGTGTGTGCTTGTATGTATATGGACAGTACAAGTGCATATCTGTGTAAGTATATTATATATATATATATATATATATATATATATATATATATATATATATATATATATATATATATATATATATATATATATATATATATATATATATTATATTTATATATATTATGTGTGTGTGTGTGTGTGTGTGTGTGTGTGTGTGTGTGTGTGTGTGTGTGTGTGTGTGTGTGTGTGTGTGTTGTGTGTGTGTGTGTGTAATGTATGTATTATATATATATATATATATATATATATATATATTATATATATATATATATATATATACATATATATATATATATATATATATATATATATATATATATATATATATATTATATATAATATATATATATATATATATATATGGTACATACTTATACAAGTGTGTATATGTGTGTGTGTGTGTGTATGTGTGTGTGTGTGTGTGTGTGTGTGTGTGTGTCTATATATATATATATATAATATATATATTATATATATATATATATATATATATATATATATAGATATACATATACATATATATACATATACATATATATATATATATATATATATATATATATTATATATATATAATATATATATATATATATATATATATATATATATATATATATATATATATATATATATATAATACATACATGTAATACTGATATAAGCATGATGATGATAATAATAATAATAATAATGATAATGATGATAATGATAATAACAATAATAAAACAATGATACAAAAAAATCAATATAAAATATAATAGTTAAAGAAATATGATTATCTATATCATTATTATCATTATCATCATCGCAACTACGATGATGGTGATGATAATGTTGGCGATCATGATGATGATGAAGACAAAGGCGATGAGGAGAAGGACAGCAGTCACAATACTAATAAAATGAAGGTCTTAATTGCAAATACAATCCTTTCCTCCAGCGCGTTTGGCCTTTTCTTTCTTTCTTTCTTTCTTTCTTTGTTTTAAAAGAGATGTCAAAGAAATATATAATAATTTGACAGAAAGAGAGAGAAAGGAAAAGAGGGAAGAAACGTGGAATGGAAGCACTGAAAAAAAGGATGCTCAGTGTAGTAAATACAGCCGATAGATAATGTCTACATCTGGAAAGGTGAAGTATACCACTCTCAAATCATCGTTCATACCTTTGCCAAATGAAATGTTTTAAAAGCTAGAATGCAACGCACGATTCCAACATTTCTCTTGCGTGATGCGACGAGTTGAATAAGGAAGGAAGGAGGAATGGAAGCGGAAACCGTGATTTAGAAGTGTTGCCTTGAATCAAGTCAAAATACCTTGGCCGGCATTTATTGAAAACAGATCAGATATATTTGGCATTTCTATATAATTGCTCGGAAGGCGAAT